TATATCTATATCTATATCTATATCTATATCTATATCTATATCTATATCTATATCTATATATTAGAACTACCTCATATAGTTAGCTGATTCAGACCTCCTTTACGATTTTCGAAAGCCCAGCTGTACAGCTAGCTGAGTTCACATAGTCAACTGTGGTGAAATAGAGTTTTATATAGAGCCCAATTGAAATTCGTAAGCAGTAAGAGTAATACCAATTACTCATTCAGAGTTAGTCAATTAAGTAGTTTGAATACATTTCTTATACGGTATACCTCATCATGTAGTACAAGACTAGAAACTGTCTATAACTCGAATCCCACAAATACATGCCTAAATGATATACTCCAGTCTTATAGATAGATGTATGACTAGTGTATATGAAATCATGGCATAATGAGACGTTTTTAATTTTCGTAAGTTATCTTTGGCAATTACGTGCTTCGCTGCCTTTAGACGAACTATCTAGAAAGTCGTATCAAAACGGAGTACTATACTATACTATGGCAACTACTGAAACTAGCGTTGCCATAGAAATCAGTCGTACAGAGATCGACTACTAGGATTGTCATCTACCCAAGTCCCGCTCAGAGATCAACAGGTATAACAACATATATACATACATATATACAATTTATTCATTAAAATTATTCGCCAATGAGTAACTCCCTGGAGGATCGTATTACCTTATTAGAGAGCAACTAATGCAATATAATTTAATACAGCTGTTAGCTGTTAGCTGTAGACGCACGATGAATTCATCGTCTTAGCATGAAAAATAGAGCTGTGTTGACTCCATCTGAGCGGCAGGCAAATGGAATTTTCAGTTGAAATAATGATATCTTTGTTATTTCTGCTTTCAAGTTCTGTTTGCCACCGAGCGAAAGAAAGTGAGGCAATTGACGGCTCCATGACTGGATATTTGTATTTGTATTTGCATTTGCATTTGCATTGGTGTTTATATTTGACAAAGGTGTGCCGCGATTACAAGATTTACCTGTGCGTCTGTTTGCCCAAGACACACACACACACACACACACACATAATCTTATCAGCACAGTGCTGGCCATAAAGTTGGGTATGGTCTTAAAGACAGTCTGGAGAGATTCCTTACATAATTGTCTTGTCTAGGCTTATGATATGTATGTACATAAATCATATAACTGTGTACTCAACTCGATCAACAGTTATTTATGTCTGCTACCCGCACAATGTCTAGATCATAGTTCCTAGTTTTATGAGACCCATTATATGATTACTGATCAAATAGCTTACCTTAGCAAATGGTCTCCAGGGGTATCTTTGCTGCTGTTGCTGTTGCTGCTGGTGGTGGTGGTGTTGCTCCTGCTGGGGGTGGGGATGGTGATGGGGGCTGGGTTGTTGGACCGTCGCCCGTCGCTGGTATCGAGGTGGGGGCATCCTCTGTGGTGGGGCTGGCAGGCGTCATGGTTGTTATCGTGTTGTTCATGGAGATGTTCTGGGTGAATTCGGTGCCATTGGCCATGGAGGGCAGGCCCTGGGAGCTGCTCGAATGCTGCACGCCATTGGTGGTGTTGGTGATGTCGTGTCGGAGCCGCGGACAGCAGATGCGCTTGCAGGCGGTCCACACCTGCGGCTGGCAGCCGACCACAATGAATATGAAGACGCCCTGGAGGGCATTGATGAGATCCGTCAACAGCCAGGCACCATGCGGCCCGCCCACCAGCCACGAGATGATGTCCCAGATCCAGGTGACGCCCATCACCACCACCAGCTTCAGGCAGACGCGACCCAGCGCCGATTTCTCTGACGTGGACTTGACATCGTCGCGCTTCCACAGCCCGCACGTCAGCTGATGCGTGGTGGAGATGAAGAGCACAATGTTGGCGCACAGCAGCAGTCCGATCGGGCCGTAGAAGTAGGCGAAGATGGTCAGCGAGCGATTGTCGAACCAGCAAAACGGTTGACCAAAGCCCGGCCGCAGCATCGAGGTCTCTGTCTCCGGCAGTTGATCCACAAAGGCGGCAATGGCGCAGATGAGCAGCGGCAAGCCCCAGGCGTAGACGGAGTATAGACGCAGGCGTATCGACTCCTGATTGCGCTCCAGCGAGCTGGGACGAAAGTCTCGGAATGTCCACCAGATGTTGAAGCACATCGTGTTCAGCCAGAAGAAGGCCGACAGGAAGAAGAACTGCATGCCAATGGCAATGAGCAGGCAGCTCGCTGTGCCCGGCTCCAGGCTCGTGCTCAACTCCTCGATGGCCAGCAGAATCTTGCCCAGCAGCAGGCAGAACACGTAGTAGATCTGGCATCGCCAGTGCAGGGCATGATGCACCGCCGGCAGCATGTACCCGGCTACCAGAGTAGCCGCCAGAAAGATAATGGATATGATGATGCCCACGTCCAGCACAGCCTTCTGCAGACTGCCGTTTGCCCCGCCATAGGAGACATTGTTGTGGTCGTCCGCAAAGTGCTGGGTGCAGGCAATGATCTTCACCTCGCCCGTTCGCTGCGTGTGCTCCAGGCAGAACTGCGCAGCCGTCAGATTCGTGTGGCTGAGCTGGAGGGAGCCGCTGCTCCGGTTCAGTGTCGCCTCGTGCCAGTCCCCGGCTATGGCATAGCCAGTGCCGTTGCCCTTGCAGTCGGGCAGCTCGTAGGTGGTCTGGTAGCTGCCCGTCTCCAGATTGGGCAGATTCAACTGCCCACTGTCCGAGCCGCGCTCGGCGGGCGTCAGGATGCTGCAGGTCTTGGCCACGGTATCGTAGTAGCCCCACTTGCCGCAGCATTTGCGCAGGCGCAGCATGGGCGCTGTCGAGCTGGCCGGACGCAGTGCATCGTCAGCGGAGGCTGACCCACCTGCACCATCAGTAGCCACTGGCGTCTGCAGATCCTTGTTCTTGTCTTTGTCGAGGCAGACCAGCGCCACGCCTTGATCCACACAGTAGCGCGATGGCTCGATAAACAGGCCACGCTCGTGCACCTTCATCGTGCCATTGGTGAGGAGTACGACATTCGCGTCACGGCTACTAAACAGCTCCTGCTGCTGGCCCTGCGCCTGGCAAGGCGGCCGCACGTTCGCCAGGAACTTCATGAACCGTGGCTTGGCGCCTCTGGGCTCAAAGAAGCGATTCTGCTGCTTCAGATAGACCAGCGGCACCCACTTCTCTGACGCGCCAGCGACGCACTCCAAGGTGCTGCCAACCAAATACTCGCCATGGTGGCAACACTTGTTTATCAAAACACGCGGTGGAGGCGGCCGACCCGACGTGCTGCCAGGCGACGCCGCTGTCGTTGTTGTTGTGAGCAAATCCTCTTGGCTGTTCGCAGTGCCGATCAGCAGCGCTAGCAAAAGCCAAAAGCTCTTCATCTTTGTGTGTGTGTGTGTGTGAGAGAGAGAGTGGAGCTCAAATGTATTGCGCAAGGCTTCGTTTCTTAATCCTCTTTTGTTTGTATGCTTACTTTTACTGTTGCACGCAACACTGTTTTTACTGCACTTTTAATAAAATTATTATGTTTATATTAACAATTAAAAATTGTAATTAATTGAACACTGCTTTGATTGCCTAATTGCATTTGTTGCTACATTTTCCGTAATGTTTTTTCTTGTTGCGAGCCTCCTTTGCATCAATCAGTTCGTCTTAATACTACTTTTTTCTGCAGCCGCTGCACACAACACTGTTTTCGGTGCGGTGTCTCCTGTTTGTCTGAGCCCAGCTGAAGGTAAGTTTAGCTGCTGCACACAACACTGTTAGACGCCTGTTGCCTTCGCTGTACTTTCAAAACACAGAGAAAGAGAGAGAGAGAGACAGACGCACACACATATGCTTGAGCAATGCTGAGCGGTAATTTTGTTGTTGTTTTGTGTCTTATTTTCTTCATCTAATTTTGTGGGCTCTCTCTTGTGTGGCTTCTTGTGCGCACGTTTGCAGGCGCTCGTTGTCAATTATGTGGAAATACAAATACTGTTGTTGCTCCTCGTTTTCTTGTTGTCTATCTTGTGCATTGTGTTTGGCACTATTTATTGTTGTTGTTGTCTCGCCCGCTGTCCGCCCCTCTACTGCATGTGTTGGCCTTGCCAGCGTCGTCGTCAAGCACGCATGATCTTTTTCTCTGCTTCTCTTCAGCTTTTCGCTTTCGTCTTCGTCTCGCTCAATTGTCTTGTTCTGCTGCTTCTTCTTCTTCTTCTCGTGTTTCTTGTTGCTGTTTCGTTTCGGTTCTCAAGCGTAGCAGAAAATTTGCTTTTCACTTTTCTCCTCCGTCGCTCTTCAATGGCATTTTATTTGCTTTTGTTTAACACTTACTAATCAAATGCTTTAATTTGGCTTCTTTAACTTGGCTACACTCGGTTGAACTTCACGTCTGTTGAACGAACCACAAATTGAATTCCAAGCGCGTCGTTCGAAAAAAAAGAAGCTAAATCGAAAAAAAAACGCACATACAAAAAATTTCACAGCGAGCTGCACGCCTGCACTGAGCGAATACAAAAAACCGACTAGCGCACTGTTAACTGTTAACAGGCATGCATTCACGTTGTGCAGCTGCTTACGTTCAAGCACTGTTGTAGTTGTTGTTATATCGATATGCTTGAACACAACGATGTTATCGATGCTTTGGCGCGCTTCTTGCCGGTATTGTTCAGCACTGTTTTGGCGCGCCAACAGCTGTTGTTCAAGAGTTTGGTTTGCTGGTGCTAGTCTTAGGTAAGCTGTCTGGACTTTTTCAATTTGGTTCTGTTCTTAGCTATTTGCAATTATATTGTATAGTTCTGTGCGGCATTTTTAAAGTCTGGCGAGCTTTCGGATTTTGGATTGTGTTACGGCTAAACTGTAAGCTTTTATTGTTCCCAGTATTTAAACTTTGTTGTGCTATAATTTGGTTTGTGTTTGTTAATAATGGTTTATCAGAGATTAGCACCCTTTGCTATAAAGCAGAATTTTATTTACGTATTTGTTCTTTCACTTTTGAGTTCAATCGCTCTCTTTCTAAAATTTTCCTCCCTATCTCCCTATCTCCCACACTCTCCCTCTCTCCCTGTCTCTCTGTAAATTATTGTTGCACCTAGGCTAGTTAATACCCCGAGAGCTCAGCTAAAAAAACTAATAAATAAATGCCGCCGCCCCGTTGACACCTCTCCAAAGGCAGACGATAAGGGGGAGTGGCTGCCGCCCGGCAGCAGTGCATCTATTTTTGGGGTGGCTGCCCCGCTGGAAAATTAGATAGAAAATAGAAACAAATCCATTTGATTAAAATTGTATGACGTGGCAGTGAGGGGGAGGGGGGGGGGGGGGGGGGGGGGGGGGGGGATGCTGGCACCCCGTGCAGCAGGGTGGCTGTCTGCCTGATTTACAGGGTATGCGTGGCTCGGTCTCGGGCATTAAGACATCAAATGGACAGAGCCCAAAACTCTGACAGCAGTGAAAATCGTTAAGCCAGCGAAGTGGAACAGACGACGCTTGCGAAAATTCACCACGGCCTTGCCACTGGAGCCACAACCACCCACAACCACCCAGAGAAGCAGCCACCCGAGCAGCGCAACCTGCTCGCCTTTTCGGTTGCTCTCTGGTGCTTGAAATTAGATTTTTGACTGAGCGGCTGGTATATGTAGAAGAGCAGCAGGAGCAGGAGCAGGAGCAGCAGGAGCAGCAGCAGCAGGAGCAGGAGCAGGAGCAGTAGCGACAGCAGTTGGCCAGTGTTGCATAACATTCGTTGCGAGTCTTAAGTGCGCTCGCTACACGTGCCCACACACAGGCGGGTTAGGGCCAGCAAGCCCGTGAGCTCCAGCAAATCCTGCAGCGAAGAGCACGTGATTTATAATACCCTGTAAATGAGGAGGTGGGCAGCACCTCTCTCTCTCTCTCTCTATTTATTGAAAAAGGGGGCCATTGTGGGCGGGGGCGTGTCTGTGTGCTGGGGCGCCGTCAAGTTTTTTGGGCAACAAATAAAATGTTTATGAGCGGATTATGTTTGCCTTAACCGAATGCCATCTGAATTTAATGAGCCCAGCAGCTAGCGTCGCGCTCTCTGCCAGACTGCTAGCATACCCTGTGAATAGAAGTGGGCTGATATTTTTATTTTAATATAATTTCTACTCATTTACTGTATATTATTATATTGTATAATGCTTGATCTCACTTGACAAGTTAATAGCTTCTTGCTGACCACGCCCCTTTCATAGTTGGTTTTAGTCTACAGGTAGAGCTGTAGAATTCAATACTGAGTCTAAAACTGAGAGCAGCCACGCCCCAAATGGTGCTTGTTGATATATCTGTATCAATTTATATACATATCTAGCTCTCTATCTATCTATCTATCTACCTAGATATAGATCTATCTTAATCTGTGAGCTAATATAGCTTTAAATAGATTCTAGATACAGTTGAGCCTCGGTTAAGGTATATTTCTTATTTCTCTAGCAATTTATATACATATCTATCTATCTATCTATTTATCTACATACATATCTATCTTTATCCCTGAGCTAATATAGCTTTAAATAGACTCTAGATACAGTTAACCCTCGTTTAAGGTATATTTCGCATTAGGAATACGATGCTGTAGCGAGTTATCTTCTTTAACCGAGGTTCCACTGTAATCACCTTATGCGCCGTCTAGCCACGCCTTCAATAGGCGTAATGGGTCTGGCAATAAGTGCATGTATCGAATTTGAAATCTCCTGAAAGAGGAACTCCCGGACGGATGGACTGACGAACGGCTAGCAAACCAATATACTCGCTTTGCTTACTAAATGGGTAGAACAAAGTTTACTTCTGTCTTGAATATATGTATATTAAGAGCAACTCATCTACTCTGTGGCATCATATTTTACAGGGTAGCTGTTGTAGTCTAACAGCAATGTCAACGTCGACGTTGGCGTCGCATTTTTTTTAATTGAAATATGTCGCCGCGACATTTCATATACATTTAACAATCCATCAGACATTTTCATTTGCCCCCCCGCCCCCCCTCCCCCACTCCCGCTCGATGGCATCCACTTAATGGCACTCTTGTTGCTTGGCTCGTTGTTGTCTAATTTATGCCGCAATCGTTGCCGCCTTGTCTTCAATTAGTCGCCCGGCAACTGCAACTGCAACAGCAACTGCAACTGCCCCAAGGGGCAGACGCTTGCATCTCCATTTACAATCGATCGAACGAGCGAGCGAGAGAGAGAGGGAGGCTGAGAGAGTGAGGGTGTGGGCAAACTTCAAACTATTCGTCTAGTATTACTTGATACTTAACCGTCCTTTATTTATGTCCCTGTCAACGCCTCTCAGCTGCTCACTTCTCCAAATGCGAAAACCAACAAACAAATTGAAACGAATTGAAATCAAAGACGAAGTCGTTAATGCTCTAACTATGTTATATATGAATAGATATAATACTACAGTCATCATACATACCTATCTAATGATCATTTAGTATGTATATCTCATATTTCCCTGTATGACTGCTAACTTTACCCAATTTCGGCTGCCTTTCCTTTATAGTAGATAACAATTTGTTAATGTGGCTGTTAAATTTGACATCTACTTTAAACCAAGTTTCAATCCGAGTGTTAGATATGTAGTAAAAGCTTCTGCTTCTTATTCTTGTGATACCTAAGCTAAATATTGAGAGCGCATTGCATGTGCCTGTCAAATTTTCCGGAAATCTCTCTGTCAAATTTAACAACTACTTTTAAGGGGTTAAACTGTTTTTTTTTTTTTATCAAAATTTCAACTATGCAGTTCACAGTTCGTTTCGCCAATTCAATCGTCAATCGTCAAAGTTCATGTCAAATTTGACAGGCAGTTGGCCCTTGCCAATGACAAGCCAAAACTTCAGATCCGCAAATTCTCTTTCTTAGCTTCTCTTGAATTTTCTTTGAAGCGCTGCCAGCTTAATGCCGTCTAGCGCTGCCATTTGGCATGGCCTTGCCAGACTGCTCAATCTTGCATAGCTTCGCTGCACGAATATACCCCAAGTGAGGGCACTCACCAGTTCCACTTCAGTCCCCATTTTGTGGGGGGTACAGACAGGCGGGCGGGCGGTCGGGCGACTTTTTTTTCTCTTTTTTTCTTTTAGTTAATTGAAACCTGTTGTAAATCACAAATCATATTGGCGTCACTTGTCCCAACTGCGGCAGCAGCAACAGTTGCTGACAACAGCAGCAACAGTTGCAGATGTCGACAGTTTTTCATGTCTGGAAAAGCTCGACTGGGGCGGCGGCGGCCGCCACTTCTTGCATTACACGCGAGGCGCATTCTCTCTGGGAAACATAAGATCATAAAAGCCCAAAGTTGCATTTTAGATACAAACAGCGGGCAATGGAACATGCCAGAGTGGGAGTAGATATATCTGATCGTAGATGATTCTACCATCTGGTAGAATGAGGTGCGTGAGTCGGTACATAAAGCTGAAAGGTGACGTGTACCAAATCTAATTGGTTCTATGATATGATATGATTCTATGTTAAGGGGCATCAAATTTATTTGGTTGACATTCTAGTGAAAATATTCCTTAAAGCTAAACTTTGGTTATAGTCTCTGGTATGGGGGCGAATG